TCGGGGGCGAGGGGAGCGCGGGGCGCACCGCGCGAATCTCCGCGGCCGAAAGGCGAGGCTTGGGGCTTCGCCTTCTAAGGAAAAGGCAACCCCGGGGCGGAGCCGCGCCGGAGCTTCCCCGCCGCCTCCCGGCTTAAGGAGGCCCGAGCGAGTTCCCGGGGCGCGCTGGGGAGGGGCGCCCGGCGAAGCGGCCCCCACATGGCACAGTCATCAGGGCCTAGCTGGGGCCCCGGCTACCTGGGTTCACACCCGGCTCATTTGCATTGATTTCTAGAGGTTCTTTATATATTCTGGATACGTGGGTTTGTGTTGGAGATGGACCCCTGGGTTTGCGTTGTATTCAAGGGAGTGCAGATACTTTGCGCCACACTCTGTGGTTGCTGCCGCTTCTAACGAACAGGAGTTACTCTCGGTGAATTCCGACTTACCAGTCTTTTCTCTTATGGTTAATGCATTTTCATGACATTCTATGTTTTCTTTTAGAAGTGTAATTTTTTCACGTTTGCATGGTGATGTATCACATTAGTTCTTGCGAATGGTGTGGTAAGGGGTCAGAGCTCATGTATTTTCCGTGTGGGTATCCAGTTGACCCAGCATCATTTATTGAAAAGACCATCATTTCCCCACTGAATTGGAAAAGCGTTCCCATAATAAATCAAGTGATGTATATGTGAGGATCTGTTCTGAGCTCTTCTATCCCACTGGTTATTTCTCTTGAACCAACACAGCACAGTTCAAACAACAGGATTGACCAACTTGCCCCAGTTCACACATATACAACCAATAGAAGACATGTTCTTTCCCTGTGCACATAGGATGTTAACCAAAATAAACCAAACCCTGGGCCATAAAGTTGCAGCAGATTTCAAAGGATTGAAATCATACATGTTCTCTGTATTAATTTAAAACAATAACAGTAAAACTACTAGAAAGCCCCCAAGTGCTTGGAAATTAAACATCACCCTTGTAAATAATCAGTGGGCCAAACAGTAAAGCACAAGGAAAGTTGCAAAATATTTTGAAGTGGACAACAGTGAAAATGTGTGGGATGCAGGCAAAGCAGTGCCTAGAGGAAAATGTATAGCTTTAGAAGAAAGGTTAAAAATTAATGGTCTAGCCGGGCCAGTGTGTCTCAGTGGTTGAGCATTGACCTAGGAAGCAGGAGGTCACCATTGGATTCCCATTCAGGGCACATGCCAGGGTTTCGGGTTTGATCCCCAGTCGGGGGTGTGCAGGAGGCAGCCGATCAATGACTCTCTCATCATTAATGTTTCTCTCTCCCCCATCATTTTTATTAATTAAAAATTAATTGAAAATCTGGATAGTCTTATACCAATGAAATAAATTTAATGT